TTGGTACAATAATTTGGGGATAAGGAAGATTGAACCTTCAACTTCGAAGGAAGGAATATATGTCAATTACTGTTAAGCTAGATTCATGTTGATCGAATTCTTCGAGTGTCGGAACACCCCTTGGTGTAATAATGGAAAAATATTATCTAAGAAAATAAAACTCAAAGTTCTACCACGTTCTTAGTAATTTGGAAGAATTAAAAACATTCCTTCTCTTCTGTGACTTTTTTTTCCTTTAAATTTGTCAAGTAGCTAATTAAATTGACATAGCTTAATGATAATTAGTATATATTCTTTTGTTCGAAGTCGGAGGTTCGCTCCTCATATCCCCAAATTGTTGTACTAAAACAAAATAGTGGGTGACTAAATTAAAAATAAATTGAAATGTATAAGAAGTAAATTGAAAAATTACTCAAATAAATATATTATTTTCTCTTAAATAATATAGCATTGATTCGCTAACATGAGAATAATTCAGTAATAATTGACATTTATTTATGTCTATAAAGTTGGAGGTTAAATCTCAATTTGTTGTACTAAAAAAGATTCGTACTGAAGTCAAAGTATTTTTCCTTTTTAAAATTATATTATGGTTTACAAATTTTTGTCTCCAATTTCAACCCCAAATTTCTTTTGGGAAAAAAAAATCCTATTTACCTTTAAATTTAATAAATTTGCATAAGTTTCCACTTCTAACTTTCAATTTCATCTAAGTTAGATAATTTTGCAATTTCTACGCTCTATTCAATTTCTACTCATTTATCAATTAATTTTAACAAAAAATATATAGTGTAAAAACCTCAACAAAATTCACTAATTTAATGAAAATCAAGCTTTTTACCAAATTAAGTTAAATTAAGGTATACAATTGATCATTAAATAACTCTACCAAAACTTATAAATTTCAACCAAAAACCAACTCCTATCTTGTTTTTGTCTTAATCTTATCAAGTTCATACATATATTTTTATAATTTATTGGATACACATGAGAATACTTTTTTCAACGATTATTGAAATGAAAACCAAAACTGATACACGTTGCCAAGTTTAGGGTTAAATTTAATATTTTCCCTTTTTTTAGAATAGCATTACAATTGTGGGTACGGGTGTTCGTGCATTGGATTAAGTTTTATAATATTTTGAACGCATTCATTTGAATCGTAGATTTTGATAACCCGAACACAATTTTGGAATATGGGGAGGTTGTAAGTGTCTTAATTGTATTGAGATTCTTGACCAGCGTGATTTGGAGAATTTGTCTAATGTAGTCTTTATGACTTTTCGTTCCGTACTTGTCATGGTGGAGAATAAGACAATTGTGTTGGAAATGATTTTATTTGCAATCCTAAAAGACAAGATTTCTCCATTGATTGAGAAGTCTCCTTTGATAGCATTGAATATGGTTGAGGATTTCGTGACTTTGAAGAAGGTGTTTCGTGGACTGAAATTTGCTCTTATTCCTCGTTCTTTGAACATACAAGTTGTTCTATTGGCCAAGTGTGTCATTTCTAATCGTTTATCTATCATTTAGGATATTTGTTTTCCTTCGTGGATTCTGAATATGGTGCATGATTATCACTACTCTGTTGTAACCCTTAGTGGTCTTGTTTCTTATAAATGCAATGTGTCTTTATCTAAAAAAAGAGATTTTTATAATCCGAACAATCCTTGTTAAGTTATGAACTCAACCCAAACAAATCCAAAAATTTATGGATTGCATTGGATTAGTCCACATCGAAATTAACTCAAACCATTCACACCTCATAATTGTTAAGGGGTAATTGCTATAATGACTCATTGTAAATAAGTTGTTTTGTCAAATGGCCTAAGTTGCAGACACTAATAACGTGGGGTTTTCATGACGCTAATTAATAGTAAAAAATGTTGAAAATTTACAACAAATGTCACAAAAGATGAAAACACATTTTTTGCGGGAAAAAACAGAGTTTTCTAGATTTTTGACTTCTCGTGACGTTTTTTAACCATCACAAAAAGTTAGAAAAAAATATGTTTTACGTGACATTTTTTAAACGTCACGAATGAGTGAGTCGCATTTTTGGTGGGAAGAGATGAAGTTTTCTAGATTTTTTGACTTTTCGTGACTTTTTTTAAACTGTCACAAAAAGTTGGAACAAAACATGTCTTTCGTGACATTTAAAGGGAGATGCAAGTTTTTTTTTTTTTTTTTTTTAGGAAAAGACGGAGTTCTTCGGATTTCTGAGTTTTGACATTTTTTAAATGTCATGAAAAAGTTGAAAAGCTATATTTCTCATGACGTTTAAAAAACATCACAAAACGGTGAGACACGTTTTTTGCGAGAAAATATGGAATTTTTCATTTTTTTTTTCACTTTTCGTAACGTTTAAAAAAATCCTACAGAACACAATTATTTAATGAGTTCAATAACAAGAGCATGAAGCTCTCATCAAAAGTCAATCAACCAAGTTTAAGCCTAACAAAGATAAATATGGATGCATCTATTAAACCCGATTAGCATCAATGTAGAACTGGGGCAATTTTTCAGAATGACAAAGCTAAGGTAACGCTAACTCTTGCAAAACCTTAGCCATTAATAATTGATGTGGAAGTTATGGAAGCTATAGAAATTTAGAGACGCCTCCATGTTGTAAAGGATGGGGGCTTTCTCTCTACACTGTTGTGGAATCCGACAGAGCCAATCATTCATATGATTCAGGAAGATACAACTTTAAGCATGATCATTGCTGAAATTTGATCCTTCACTTTATGCTCTTTTGTTTGGTGTGATCGGGCTAGAAACCAAGTGGCACTGAGGTATGACGGCTATCGCATCTAGAGAAGAAGAAGAGAAAATTCCCCATGGAAGAAGTCCTACAAGTTATAGAGCCACTTTACTGAGAAGAGTTGGAAGTGGTTACAACCATGGTATTAAATATGTGTCGGCATGTCAACATTTACATCGACATTTCCATGTATCTATAGATTCGACATTGACATGAGGGGTAAATCAACATTTTCATCATATTACAAAAAAATCAATAAAATATGAAAAGTATCAATAAAATGTCATTAATACATACCTAATATTAGTATTAATCATTTTTAAAATTTTTTAGAAATAGAAAAATGTTTATTTGTTAATTTAATTTTTTTTACGATTTTAAAAATTTTCTAACTTTTATAGAAATTTCCATCGACATTGATATTTTATCGATATTTCCATGAAATTGAGACTTCGATATTTTCATCGACGTCGACATTTAAAATCATGGTTACAATCACTTGTGCCCATTTATTTTAATTTTTTGTCTTTTGTTTCTTTCTATTCTCCGTTAAAAAAAAAAATTCATATGCTATGATTACTAGATTTATTTAAAACTAAGGGTAAATTACACTTTTAGTCCGTGACATTTAGGTTATATTAAGCCAACTCACTAATGACAATTGATATGAGTTTTTATCTTCTATTGTATTAGTTACACCCACATTTGGTCAGTTAGAAAAATCCTCAGCTATTGTTCTTTTTGTTCACAACCTTCTCTCTGTCAAGAGAATTTTGGAATTTTTGAATAAATTTATTTTTGTTAAAATTGAAGAATTACAACTTTTCATGAACTAGTACGTCTTTTGTAAAGGTTATATCATTTTATCAAAAGATATAACTTCACCTGAAAATATATGATTATTGAATGGTCACAAATAGTCTATAAATACGTGGTTATTCTTAGTTTGAAACACAGAAAACTGATCCCTCAAAATTCTCTCCTTTTCCTCTGTACGAATACTGTGAGTTCGTTGAGTCCTGTGTATGAAGTGCTGCATTCACAGGTTGGTATATCCGTCCTATCTTGGGAGACAATTGTTCGTGAAACCTTGAGCACAGAGGGAACAAAATTGTCTTAAGGAAACAACGCTACGTTGGGTTCGGATTTTTAATTTTGTGTGTCTTTAAGT